TGCTTCACCCCTCTCCGTCCTTCCGTCGGACGATGAGAATAGGCCCAAGGCCGATTTTCATCCCGGCATTTGGGGTGATATGTTCCTCCAATGTCCTGTCGCGGTAACCTATTTAACTTTTTTTACAAGGTTTTTTTTTTCCATTGGATTTTTAGGTTTTATTTCATAGATTTAGTTGATCTTTATATTTCGTACATGAGCAGGATATTGATGCTGCAACCGAGTTGCAATACGAAGAATTGAAAGAAGAGGTGAGGAAGATGATTGTGGAACCTGCTGACGATTCAAACCAAAAGTTACCCTTGATTGATGCAGTTAAAAGATTGGGTGTTAGCTATCATTTTGAGAAAGAGATTGAAGATGAACTCGAGAAAATTTACCATGACATCAAGACCAATGAAGTTGCCGATGATCTCTACACCACTGCTCTTCGATTCCGTTTACTTAGAGAGCACGGCTTCCATGTTTCCTCCGGTAATTCAGTCTAAAACTTTTATAACTTAGATTAACCAACTCTACATTCATTAAAGTTTGATGATGAGATTGTGTGATTGAGCAGACGCGTTCAACAAGTTCAAAGATGAGGAAGGGAATTTCAAGGCATCATTGAGGAGTGATGTGCGAGGATTGTTGGAGCTTTACGAAGCTTCGTATATGAGGGTCCATGGAGAAGATATACTTGACGAAGCCATTTCTTTCACCGCCGCTCAACTTACACTTGCGTTACCAACTTTAGACCATCCTTTGTCGGAACAGGTCGATCATGCCTTGAAACAGTCCATCCGAAGGGGATTACCGAGGGTGGAGGCTCGAAAATTCATTTCGATATACGAAGAAGTCGAATCCCATAACAAACAACTGCTTCAGTTTGCAAAGATTGATTTCAACTTGGTACAGCTGCTGCACAGGAAAGAGCTAAGTGAGATTTGTAGGTAAGTGTTTCAGGAACCACACCATTGTTGTTAATGTTTTTTTCTTCATTTTTTTACGATTGAATTAAACTTGATTTTGAATCATTTGTTTTAGATGGTGGAAAGATTTAGACTTTACGAGAAAACTTCCATTTGCAAGAGACAGAGTGGTGGAAGGCTATTTCTGGATAATGGGAGTTTACTTTGAACCCCAATACTCTCTTGGGAGAAAGTTTTTGACAAAAGTCATTGCCATGGCCTCCATTGTGGATGATACATACGATTCATTTGCAACTTATGATGAACTCATTCCCTATACAGATGCTATCGAAAGGTTCGATTTCTTGCACTACAAATTAACATTCATTTTGATGGATGATACCAAAGCCTTGGGTTTGACAACTAATTATTGAATTATGTGTTCCAGGTGGGATCTTAAATGCATGGATCAACTCCCAGAATACATGAAAATAAGCTACAAGGCACTGCTTGATGTTTATGAAGAAATGGAACAACTATTGACCGATCAAGGGAGACAATACCGTGTGGAGTACGCGAGAAAAGCGGTATGTAGCAATACGATCATCCGATTTGCTTTAATCTGAAATGATGAATACTAATTTACCCTAACTTGATTCCTCAGATGATACGCCTTGCTCAAGCTTACCTTCTGGAGGCCAAATGGACTCACCAGAACTACAAACCAACATTCGAGGAGTTTAGAGAGAATGCACTGCCGACCTCCGGCTATGCCATGCTTGCTATCACGGCGTTCGTCGGCATGGGAGATATCATAACCCCCGAGACCTTCGAATGGGCAGCCAATGACCCTAATATCATCAAAGCTTCCACCATCATTTGCAGGTTCATGGACGACATAGCTGAACACAAGGTAATGCATGATTGCCATACATCGGATCCATATTCGACATTTGTGGTCTTCATCTGCTAAACTAATGGTATTGTTTGATACGTATGGGGGTGCAGTTCAAGCATAGGAGAGAAGACGACTGCTCAGCCATCGAGTGTTACATGGAACAGTACGGCGTGACGGCGCAAGAAGCATACGATGAATTCAACAAACACATAGAGAGTTCATGGAAAGACGTAAACGAAGAGTTCTTGAAACCCACAGAAATGCCGACACCGGTTCTTAGCCGGAGCCTCAACCTTGCCAGGGTTATGGATGTGCTTTACAGGGAAGGAGATGGTTACACGCACGTCGGGAAAGCGGCTAAAGGCGGCATCACTTCTCTGTTGATCGACCCAATCGCGCTTTGAACATCGAAAAGTTGGCGTCTCTGATTTCCAAGAAATAAAGTTAATGAAATTCTTTTATATAAAAGAACGAAGAAGTCAATTTTATGTCTATTTTGCCTTTGTATTGCAATAAAATTCTTTGTTTATTCTATACATATAATCGGTCCAGTTTAATTCATAAACATCTTTATATTAAGTAGATTGGTAAAAGATATGTTACAAACATAAAATAAAAATAATTTTAAAGAATTTATGGGTTCTTTAATAAATATACCCATTATATTACTAATCAAAACACATGCATGCACCTTACTTTTAGCGTACCGAGTTTGCCTTGGACTTTTCGGCTCATTCTTTGGACTGCTTGAATAAAATACTCGACACAAGCCCTTAATTTCCAAAGCTTATCGGAAGAACAAAATATCATCAAATGAGACGCCTGAATTTCCAAGGCATTGAACCATTGATCACTTTTTTCCTACATGGCGGTTTTGAGGATACTCGGGATGGCTGGAACTTACAATCTATTGTTTATGCATACTGTATACAGCTGAGCTTGCAATATTTGGGACATGATGACATTTTTTTAGCATTGAAAAGCTGGTAATATGTGGAACAAAAATATGATGGAGATATAGAGAAGTGATGGCTACACAGTATTCTGTTTGCTGTTAAGTTAGGGTTTCATAGGAGCTTGAACCGAGCCCAGAAATCTGTTCTTTACTATCTATATTTTATTAAGACATCAATATTTATTCTGGAATCCATAACAACTAAGCAAACAAATCCACTAACGAACTCAAATAGCAGTTCGAAGTCTGAAATAACAACATAATGAAATTGATCCTCAACAAAGACAAGAAAACTTATTTAGTTCAGAGGATTTGATTTTCAGAATATTCATGAATAATATATCTCAGTTCATCAAATTACAGCGAGTTCAAGTCCGACAACTTCGTACTTAATTTCCTTTTTTCTAGAAGCACGTAATAAGCCAATTCTATAGTCTAAACCCGAAAGAATAAGAATGCATGTTGCAGAATTATCTGAGTCATTCAAGGCCTACGAATTATAGGTGTTTGAATAGTCATGTTGTCCTGTGGCGGAGTGCGTTCTGGCCGAGGTCTTGCATACTCCGCAAATATAACCCAACCGTCCAGGAACTGCAAAAAAAAAAAAAAAATCAGTACAAGGAGGGAGAGAGAATAGGATAATTTACTTTCTGCAATAAACTATTGTGCTTTAAAAGTAAAAATGAATTCAAGGATGTATCCTGACAGAGTTCTGTAGAAGAATTTAACATATTTGAAATAAGGGTACAGTTCTCAACCGAGCAACAATTTCACCCTTGCAATCGTAATATAGTCTTAAGTCTTAACACTTTGAATCACTACAAAGAGCCATGGAAACGGATGAATGAAAACTTAAAATTACTTCAAGGCAATGTATATTAAAGAACTAGAAGAGAGCTCACCTTGCCATCCATTCCCACTCTTCCTTTCTCAGCTTCTTCTATGGTGGCATATCTTACAAAACCAAATCCCTTGGAATATCCGGATACTCGATCAGTCACCACCCTAGCTGTAACCCCCCCCCCCCCCAACACACACACAAAAAAAAGACCGATGGTTACTAACATCCAAAAGACGATTTTCAATTATCTATAAGCAGGCACAAACCATCAATTACTCGTCCAAACGGAGAAAAGGCTTCCCGAAGTTTCTCGGTGGAAGTGCGTTTATTGAGACCTAAAAACAAGTCCAAAAAGATAAATGATATCGTAAAATGAACCAAGAAAAGTAAACAAGTGACTCCAGTCAACATATATAACTGAAGAAGTTTGCATGGATCCAATTACTAGCATAGACCAATATCAGGAGAGTAGGGGTTTAAGGTCTAAATTATTAAAGCTAAATCAATTCTAGATTGATGGCATATGCTTCAATGGTATCCCTATCAGAACACAAAAACTTAAGGATGGTTAAACAAACTTAATTACAATTTAGTCGGTAGGACAAAACGGATAATGAACCAACACAATATATAACACTAATTACTAAATATAAATATTTATCGCCAGATATCAAACAAGAAAATTTAAAACCAATAAATCAACATATAAGCCAAATTTACCGACAACCCAAAAAAGAACGAGAGCAATTAAATCAAACCCATTAAAAGTACCAATCTTTTCTTCCATATTCCCACAATTTCCCAGCAACCAAGCTAATGAACCAACATGGAAGCGATGCAAATAAAAGAAACATAAAGGAACACTGAAAAACTAGCAGCAATGATGGGTATAGATGAAAAAAAAAGAGACGTGCCGGAGACAAAGAGGTTGGTGCTAGGAGGAGCTTGCTCTCGACCAGGGGTTCCTTCACCGTTCCCCATCGCCGCAAAAGGCGGCGGCATGAAGGAATTTGGTGAAGTTATCGAGAAATGTCGTCTAGTCCCCCTTGGAGATACCCGAGCAGCCATCGCCATCGTCGCCACCGCTCTCAAAGCCATAAGGGAGGATTTTACTGGGGATGGTGGGATGGGAATCAGGGTTTAAGGCTTTGAGCTAAAGCCTCCTTTTGTGGTTCGCAAAAGGGAATAAAATCGCAATTGGGTTTATGGTATAGACAAGATACAAATTTGGGCTTCAGTTAATACATGAAAATTGGGTTTATGGTCTAGACAAGTTACAAATTATTGAAGTGGTAATTTTTTTTTCCAATGATGAAGTGATATTAGTTTGCCAATACCATTGTAATAAGACATATCCAAAGCCTATACTAATTAAGAAGACATATCCAAACCCAACTAAAAGATTATTGTAACAGTGATGCATTGTAGTTTCGGAACCATTTGGAAGAATGAGTGAACTCGTAGGTTTATTCTGATCCCATAGTGTACTCTGCTACAAGTTGTGCAAATGATGAAAACTTGTTTTCCAGTAAGCTAGCGGGAGAATCATATTCTTCAATAACTCCTGCAACAATTAAAAAACAAAATTTCAATGCAATGAACTTCAAAGAATTTTCTTTTACAAGCAAATCATAAATTGCTGACATATTAACCCTGATTTAGAAGCAGAACCATATCACTATCGAGGACGGAAGTTATCCGGTGGGTGATTGTTATAACTGTACAGTCGAAGTGATCCTTTAAGGTTGTCTGAATATGATTATCGGTGGCTGTATCGACCGACGCGGTAGCTTCGTCGAGTACTAAAATCTTACTTTTCTTGAGCAGCACACGCCCGAGACACACCAGTTGCCTTCGTCCCATACTCCAATTCCCTCCGTTTTCACTAACTGCAGAAGCAATGCCATAATTACATTAACTTTACTAAAATTGTATGTTATATTATTGAATATCGTAACTGAAGACTCGAGCTTGCCTTCTTTCTAACTTCATCCCCAAGTTGGCATTTATCCAATGCCTACATGTTACATCGATAGATGTCGGAAATTGGATACTGATTGCATTTCGTTAGAAAAGAAATGGTACGGATAAAACCCAAAATGAACTCACCTCCCAAATCTGTTCATCTGTGTACTCTTCGAGAGGGTCCAAATTACTCCGTACGGCCCCTTCGAACGTGGTAGGATCTTGAGGAATGATATTTCCTGAACCTTATAGGGTGAATTATTTTTTGACTTTCATAAACATCGAGTTGTAATTTGAAATTGTGTAGACTTTGTATTAAAATTAGATAAAATATAAATAATTATGGCCAATTTCATATAAAATATAATTTTAAGGACTAAATTGAACAAACGTGAAATTACAAAGTGAGATTTAATAAATTAAACAACATGCAAGGATCAAATAGAAACAATTGCAAAATGTAAAGCTAAAATTAATATCAAATTGAATTCAATTAAAAAGTTGATGGTTATGATATAATTCATAGGATTTGAAATTAAGTTTATGATGTGATTTATAGGTTTGGAGTAAAATAAAAAAATAGAAATAATTAATCTGAATAGCTTTGTAAAAGAAGTTGAAAGAAAATTCATATGATCCAATTCAGGCAAATACATGAAAGAAAAATGAATTCAATATTTCATTATTTATATGTCATCAGGAATCTGAAATTTCTGAGAAGCAAAAATTTGATGGGAGCTGCTTTGAGCAAAGACAGCAATGGCGCATTTGTTGCTGTTAGTGAAAGTAACAGTCCCTGATATCCTCTTTTTTGCCTCTATGTTTTCGCCATTGCAGAGCTCTTCAAGCTTTCTCACAACAAAATCATTGGACAAAACTTTCCCTTTATTTTCTCCCGCAGAGCAATCGTTTACTAATCCATTCTCGGATGAAGCTACCATCACATTGACGCCACTGTTGTCTATTTTAGACCTTAAAGATCCTGTTAGTGTCACCTGCAATGTCTCCGACGTCGGCCTTCGGAAATTCGCCTGTAACCGGAGAGTGGTACAGCTTTTCGAAGTTTATAAAAATGAAATGGTTGAAGAAAACGAAGAAAAATAAAGAAAAAACAAACCTGGAATGATGGAGCTGGGAACCTGAGAGCAGTAGCAATGGTGGACAAAAGAACATCTTCATCATCAGGCATGCATTGAGCCCTGCCTTGAACCACAAGCTGAGGTGTGAACATGGTGTCGAGTTTCAAGGCTTCGATATAAGCCTTTTGTCTTACAGTCCATAGGCTCGATCCGTAAGGGTCTTTCTAGCCGTTGTAGTCCCACGTGATAAGCCAACACGATCACCGGATCTTCAAGATGGAAATCACCTCTCCCTAGCCTCTACAACAGCAGCTCAGCCGCCGGGACGTGGCGCAACCTTGGGAAGAAAACAATTCCACCATGATCGGACCTTCGGGCTGCGGAGCTTGAAGTATTCATATTTAATATTCGTGTCTAAAATTTGTCAAAAAAATGTCTAAAATATATATAGTGATATTATCCTCCAAAATCTTCTGAATAAATTCGAATTCAAAAAACATAATTCTCTTGAGTATCTATGTCCAGTACTTAATGTATACAACCGATCTAAATAATTTAAATATACTCATACCGGGATTCCAGAAATGAGAACTGAAAGCTTGTTTGAAAAACCATAGAGTGAAAGATAGATTCGGAAAGGATTCTTGAATTCCTTAGGAGCTGCATACAAGAGAAAAACATGGCCAGTGAAAATGTACTTTCTCACACAAGCCGTGAGAACCAAAATCTACCACCATAATGTGGCACAAAAGTGGTATACATGCTCCTATGGTTACAGGAAGTAAGAGACAATTATATACAGAGAGACTTGTTCCCTCATCGAAAATGGACCTTTGGAATCGAACTAGTGGAGTTTTCCCCTCTCCTTTGATTACCAACTCTTCCCTGATGGAACATAGATTATATACATCAAATCAGAGTTGATGAGATGACAATCCTAAAGTTTTGACTTTTCCATGTATATGGAATTTATAGAGAAAATGTAAGAGGACAATCAAAGGGTGTAATAAGTTTCAAGATATGCAACCTAAGGATAATGAAATTTGTCAAATTGATAACCCAACACTGAGTGGAGGCTTCACTCAATAAGTTTGAATGATCATATATATCAGGCAAGCATTTAAGAGCTCTTTTATGTGATCATTTGTTTAGCATGGCTACAAAGGCTAAAATCATAAAACCATAGATAAATACCTTGGGAGCAACCGTCTCGGTTTTGCCACCCTTTGCAGATACACTCTGGTTTAGCCCTTTTCTGCCCGCAACCATGCCTTCAGCAGCCTTGCCTTTTCCATTGCATTTCTGGTTCAGATGAATTTCACCTGTATTATTTTCTTTCCCAAAACCTATCACTTTGGAGCCAACTCCCACCTTCTCTCTAGCTTTAGTAGCACCAGCAAGTGACTTTTGTTCGTTGACTTTGTTTAGCAATGAAAGTTTGGGACGATGAATCTCAGAACTAGCCTGCAAAAAGTTGCACCAATGGGTTCTTCAACATGATAAAATGTTTGGAATATTGTTTATTTTTCATCTTAAAGTAACTAGGCATACATAATTCTACATCAGATAAAGAAAATCAATCCAAATAACGCTTAAATTATGTAAATTCTGTGTCCCCCCTGTATAAGTATCTAAGTTCAAAACTGTATATTTGCACAGAAAGCACAATACATACAAATGTACATGCACAAGCACACACGTTTCTGAAGGTACCAAGTGCTTCATACCTTTGATTTTATGGCTTCCTCCTTAGTTTGCTTTGTAATGGTTACTAATCCGCCTATCCTAGAATTACAGTTTCCTTCTTTACCTCTAAGGTTTGATTTATTGTGCATATTAGAAGGTTTAACTTTTCTTTTGGAAGCTTCAGTCATTCGTGCAGCATTTCTGCTATCTGGGGTTTGTTCATTCCTATTTATCCATGAAACGGTTGACCTCTTAGCTTCATAACCAGAAGCTGAAGATCCCACGCTAGACTTGCCAGAGGAAGATTTACTGTCTCTTGATTCCATCCTTCGACTCCTATCAGCATTAACCTCCACCCTTGATGCTGGTCTTGTAATACAACTTTTCCTTAGACTAATCCTCACAGAGGTTAACAGCTCACTTGTTTGACCGAAACCTCGACTTGATACCTCACGGAACTTCTGCTGCTGCTGTGGTTGAATGCTCTCGGAGGTAACTGTGCTTCTAGTATTGGTTCCTCCTGAGTTATCTGCCACAGGACTCGAACTTCTTTCCAGACCTCCTCGGGTAGACACATGTTTGACATATTTTCCTTTGCCATTCTCAGTTATTACAGAGACCGAACTTGTTTTCAAGCTAGATGTCCCTTTCGAATTTATAAAGCTAACCTTAGGTTTAATTCCCTCACCAGAAATTGAAGACTCCCCCTTCACAATCTTCATTGACACAATCTTATTCAATGAAACATCATGAGAGCCCCCCCTTCCATTTCTTTCTCCTGAAGTCCTTGCCTCTTGATCTCTAAACTGAGTGTGGAAGTGTTGGTGATGATGTGCCTGCCAAGTCCAACTCTAAGGTTACCCCTTTCTCATCGGAACACGAAAATTTCGATTTCAACTGGCTAGAAGAGCATTGGTGGAACCTGAAAACTCACATTGACCTAATGTAATTAAATCTAATTCCATAGCAGATGCTTACAAATGACTTGTTTGAAACCATTCTTCATCACTGCAAAATCATAACAAATAAACTAAACAAATCAGACTTTTTATGGTTGTTAAAGTGTATTTATCCATCAAATTACTTGGAAAAATCATAAAAAGTTGGCTGAAACTCACACGTCTTGGCTGTTGAGCTTTATTTCTGAAGTAAGATCCACCCACATTGGCGCTTCAATTTCTTCCTACATATTTCAATAAAAAAAAGCAATGAACAAAATAAAATCAAAAGAGTATTCATCACCAAGAAACCATGAAAAGAGTTTGCGAGACTAGATATTATTTCCATACCAACAAAATTAGAAAGGAACATAAAACGTTTTTGTATATTTTGAGATGAAAAAATGATCAAAATCTAGCATTTTTTTAAGATATAAAACCTTTTGTTTTGACTTTCACTACATTTTCCCAACAAACAAACATACCCTTTTCCGTTAATCAAAGGTATACCGTTTTACCAATCCAAAGAAACCCCAAACAAAATTTATTCATCAAGATTGTAACTAACTTAAAACCACAAGGGGAAAAATAGAAATTAAAAATAAAAATAGACATGAAAAAATTAAATAAAAACCCAGAAATGAAAAAGGAAAAATGGCATCAAGAAAACGAAATTTAAAGTAGAAGGGTGTTAATCTATTACCAGAAATGCCCAGTGATCCTTTTGATTCTTGAAGGCCATTTTCTTTTTTCCCCTATGTACTTGAATCTACTTTTAAAAAAGGGTTTTTGATTCGGAATCAAATAATTATCAAACAAAGGTGATTTAAAGGCTCTAAATTTTCCATTTCATTTTTAGGGGTTTTTGGCTCTTTGGCTTCTTCCCTGTTATAGCAGAGGAGTGGAAAGAGATGGACTGAGAATCAAGAACCGTTGCCGTTTTCCGGAATCACCGTATGAGGATTTGAAGAAACTGAGGGTTGATATCTAGCCGCTGGATTGAGAGTTGAAAGGATTGGAAGGCCACGATTCGGTCGTGAGGTATTAAGGTTTAATTTAATGATTATGTTTTGGTTATGTGACATCGCGTCAGCCTTCTCTAACAATTCGACCGTTAGAGATTTAAATTGTTAGAGGAGTTCGCTAACGTTACATGATGGTTACTTTTTTTTATTATGAATAACAAAATTTTGGCTATCACAAAAATCCTATATCTAAATTAAGTATTAACATTATTGTTAAAGGAATTATAAAATAATATTTAAATTATTTAATATTATAATATAAATATATCGAGTTAAATTATAATAAAATATAAAAATTATTTTTATAATTTATACTTGTATGTATTTAAGCTAATTTTTAATAAATATATAATTTAAATAATATTTTCTAAAAATATTGAAATAATGACATGATATTTTAAATTTACAAATAATTTGTTAAAATATATAATTTTTTGAACAATATGGGGTCATTACAAGATAACGTGTTCAAATTTTTTCTTAAATTTTGACAACCTGTACATTTATTCTAATTGAACTTCTAGAAAGAACAAGACTTTCTACTATTAAGATAACTCAAATATACCAAAATACATTCAACATGCTCGTACCAAATGGTTGACGTACCCAAATCTATACAACATAAGATTTTCACGACTCTAGGAAAAAAAACTGTAGATATATGTCTAGGGACTATATAAACGTTTATATTTTCTACCATAAAATATTATGAAACTGTACCTGAGAATGAAATCCTGGCATGCTTGGACCGTCTATGGTGATGGTGGTTTAGTGCAGGCCTGTATCTGTAACACTTTACTCGCCGGCCACCATTTTTTCGTGTTTTCTCTGTTTCTTTATACCTTTGCTTTTGGAGTTTTGCCTTCATTTCCCTTAATCTCGTCTTGAAATCTTTCTTCAATGCCCTGAACCTGTGCTTTGTTTCCGTAGTTCTTCGTAAGGATTCACATTGGATTCTGTTTTGTTCACATCCTATTCAAAAATTTGTTTCTGCTGCTCAAATTCATTTACCAGATTGCTCACACCATTTTCTCTACCCCCGACATCGGATTTATTTCCACAAGAATGCATGGACACATTATCTTTGGAATCAATATCGCCTCTTCTTAGCTGACCATCAGGACTGTCACTCTTTTCGGCTGCAGCTAGACTTGCCTGCAAAAAATGCAATTGAAATCAACAAGCAGATACATATATATGTTTGTATTTACACTAAACATGAAATTCTCAAAAAGGCATAGATACCTGTGACCTCTGCCAAATTTACATTCACCATATAAACAAAATAGTTAACGTGATTAGCTGCAATCATCAGGATTGCATTACTTTTGAAATCACTGCGATGTTCTTAGGAGCTTTAATGTTGAGATAAAAAAACAACCACCTTAATTAAAACAGGTTATAATTAGTGATACTTATCTACAAGCTCAAAAACTCACTTGCAGGGACGCAGTTTGCTCCTGCAACGTCTCCTCCATTTTTTTCATCTTTGCCTCGTACTGTTGTAATTGTTCCCGTATGGCATTTTCCAGTTCTTTTTGCTTCTTTTCCCCGTACTGTTTTAATTGTTCCCGAAATGAATGATTTTCCTGTTCTTTTTGAATATTTGCCTCATACAGTTGTAATTGTTCCCGTGTGGCGTTTTCCTGTTCCTTCTGCATTTTCCCCTCGTACCGTTGTAATTGTTCCCGTATGACATTTTCCAGTTCTTTTGCATCTTTGCGTCGTACTGTTGTAATTGTTCCCGTAATGTATCATTTTTCTGTTCCTTTTGCATTTTTTCCTCACACTGTCGTAATTGTTCCCGTAATGTGACATTCTCCTGTTCTTTTTGCCCCAAAGTTGCTTCCACTTCAAGAATCCTTCTTTGAAGCTCTGCCATTGCTGAAGGCTGCTCATTTGGTATGTCCTGGTCAGCCCCAAAAAGTGGATCATATTTAATGTCCTTTGGAGTTTCTCAACAGATACATAAACAAATTGTTTGAGTAAAACATGCTCGGATCCTCGGAGGCACGCAACTAAGAGAAAATAGATGTGGCAAGAAGGAAAATATCTATAGAGAACAGACTATATAATGTTATCATGTTTTTTTACCAAAGTAATGTCATCGTGTTAAGAGAAGAAGATACCTTTACTTCGGAATTTTTTCTAGACCTCGTTCGTCTAGATCTCAACCGTCTCAAAGCATGCAAGTTACTGAGATGTTTCCGGACCAAACATCCACGAATTACTGCAACAGTGGAAAACAATGATAATGATAAGCAAGAAAACCACAGATGACAGAATCCACAGATTTAGCTAGCACTAAAAGAATTTACCAGATTGTATATCTAAGATTGCTGTCAACTGCTCATCAAGTAATTGGGAACCAGATGCTGAGTAGCTACTTCCCTCTTCCTTAGTCGACCCTGAATAGCTACTTGCCACCTCCTTAGTCGACACTGAGTAGCTACTTGCCACCTCCTTAGTCGACGCTGAGTAGCTTCTTGCCTCGTCATTAGTGTACTTCCCTTGGATTTCACCATCTGCAACTGCGTTGCAAGGGAAACATCCAGCAATCACAAAAAGAAATGTAAATTCCAAAATATAGGTGCCCATTCTCGCAAAAGGGAATAAAAATTAAGGTACAAACACAAGTAAATCTAAATTTTTAAGCCTCTAAAGTGTAAAAAGTTACTTCGAAGATGGTGTTTACCAAATCTAACATGTCATTGAGACAGATAAACTAGATGGATGAAACAATGTTAACTTCTGACCATATAAGACAACAAAAAAATTATAGAACAAGCAATGGTTTCTGTAGCTCCTATTGGTGCAATGGTTTCTGTAGCTCCTATTGGTGCAATGGTTTCTGTAACACCTGTTGGCAACGCCTGTTTTCGCCTATCCTCCAATGCACCAATCTGCAACCCAGCCAGACATAACATCATCAAAGAAACTATTATATAACATAACCATAAACAAAATGAAATAGATTTTTATACCCATTTTCCTATACTCAGCATATTAACATGAAGGTCCAACTCTAAGCATTAAGAAATATTTCAAGCATTTACATGCAAAACCGATCCATTTACAGTCAAATATAAACCTGATTGGCATACATACATACATACATACATACATATGGTTACTTGGTTCCACTTGAAAAAGGATAATCAGTGATTTTTACCAAGACTAATTTGGCTAACATGGTTTTTAGCCATAATAAGAGAATGTCATATCTCCAACATCAAGCAGAGCAGAAAAGCTAGTGAGTGAGGCTAGAACAGGGTGCTGGGTTGTTGGCCTCGTATGAAGTCTAGGTACAAGCTATTGACATGAATAAACCAAGAGTTAACTTGGTTGACTCTTGCAATTATCTAGTCTCAAATAGGTTTTGGAAATGTTTGGGGAAAGAGCAATCAAGGTTGAAAATTACAACTAAACATCAAAAGAAATATAAAAACAACTTACCTGCCCAATTCGAAGATACAGGTTGGTGTAGCTAATTTGATACATTTCTGGGAGGACATTAAATTGTTTTAGAACATCAACTGAAATACTTAAAGGACCCTGGGATTCATTAGTTTCCAACAGTAGCGAGCCATACCTAAACACATATTACATGAACAATTATGGGGAACAAATTAGAGGGAATAGTAAAATTTTTAAAACAAGTCATAACTAAAGGAGGCTTTAGCCTTTACCTTTCTGCGAATTTCTGATGTGCCATTCGAGCAGGATATCCAGATCTAGAGATTCTACCAACTTCAAAAACTCCACAACATCTGAGCTGCTGCAAGACATGATCCTCATCATACAAGCTAGAGAGCTGCTTGCGATTTGGTTTTATGCAGCAAATAAAGTGAGGTTTTGTATTTTCCAACTGGTGCATTAGTTTGAAGAGTTGATACTGCGATTATGGAAGAAAAAGAAATCAACATTTACAAAGCATGCTTTTAGTAACAGGTACATCTCATTATGCAGTAAATTCCTAATACTATATTGGGTCCCCCCATAGCCAAAGGAATGTAAAGGATTTCAATGGAAAACTCACAACAATGATGTACAACAAAACATGCAAGAAACAAATAACTCAATAAATCAATTATAACTTCATTCATGGGACTGGCAAATATTTTATGCTTTATACTGAAGACTAATGAAAGAAAGCTTCCCCAATAAGGAATGGATACCATGCAAAAAGATTTGTAGTTTAATTGATTAGTTTGAATTACATTACAACCATGGATGAACTTGGATCATAACAATTTAGGAAGAAACCTACCTCCAACTGTGTACCGACACCTTGCTTTGGAGCATCTGGGTTCGCAGATTGATTAAGCATTTTAATGGCTAATGCTTGTGGGAATTGGCCTTCACATGATGATAGAAGTTCGATTAACTCAGTGTTCAGTGTGTCGTGGTTCTTCTTCAGAAAGCCATCTGTATCATAGAGTACCTGGCAGAACTCTGAAAATCAATAATTCATTGCATGCCTTGTGCAGTACCATACCAGAAGTAGGCATCTTCCCAAACAAATCCAATCTTGCCGAAAATTGGACTTTCTTAATTGCATCTTATGGACAGCTAGGGAAAGGGTTGCCATTGGCTGCTTATGGTTTGGCTGTTATTATGGGCCTTAATCTGCTTGAGGTATTGAATAAAGCTATTAATGTTGTTATTTGATTTAAGCAGTTTTTTTCCGGGTTAAATGTTCCGTTGATAGCGTTTAATATTTGTCATCAATCATATAGTTTCTCTTGTTTGCATGGAAGGAATTCTTACAGTTGCCTTTGAAGTTCACATTTTTTATCAGTGTGTATGAAACTCCATGTTTCTGTCCCTCCTATTGCCATCCATGCTTGTGTCCGTGTTTTCTGAATGTCTTTCCATTGCCGGGAAGTTGGAATCGGATCTTACAAGTTATGCATATCATCATATGCAGAAAGGCTAACCAGATTAGCAGTGTCTTATTCAACCATGTACCAGAGTTTCCTGCACTCAGACTTTTACGATCTAATTATTCGTCTTTTACTCCGAACTGACATTATAGGTCATCGAGTTACAACTTCCCTCGTTCTTTAACAATTTTGATCCTCATGCTGCAGCTGCCAACTTCCCATCGGGTAAACAACAGGATTATTTTCTCCAACAGAACAAAAGTTAATTATTTGCTTGGATCTATAAAACGTTTAAAAGATGTTAATTTTGAAATCATTTTATTTCTTAGGAGTGCAAGCATATTTAGCTGGGCTGACATTTGCATTAGCTGCCTCACCTTGCAGCACACCAGTGCTGGCCACTCTGCTGGGATATGTAGCCACATCCAAGGTAAACTCGAAGATAAAGAGGCTGGATAGCTGTTCAAATGAATAAACCTTCAAGTCCAAACGAGAAAGTAATCTCTCTTAATTTGTCATAAATCCGATAATTAATTTATTACAACTGCATAACAGGATCCAATAATAGGAGGCAGCTTACTCTTGACATACACAACTTGCTACGTTGCTCCTCTACTTCATGCCGCTTCTTTTGCCGGAGCACTGCAGGTATGCACAAAGCCATCTGTTAGAACTGAATCTTGTTCGCCCTTTTGTTAACGGTTGACATACATCTGTTGTTCGAACTAGAGAAAACCATTAAGTCATAAGTCATAACTAATTGCTTCCGAGTTCCGTCTTTCACCTCTAATTTACATTCAATTAATTTTTACCTTGAAATTCAGCTAATTATATGTCTACCGGCAGAGTCTGCTGTCATTCAGGAAGTTCTCTTCATGGATCAACCCTGTGAGGTACTCTAGCAGGCACTTTGTTAAGTAATATTATTCCGCAGCAGCGAAGCATCTGTGTGGATTTATTTGTTGTAATTGCTCTTAAATTTTCCGTAATCACTGTCTGATAGATGGTTAAAACTTGATTTCTTTCGCAGTGGAGCTCTTCTACTGGGTGGGGGTGTATATACTTTCTTGGATAGGCTTTTCCCTCCCACAATGGCGATGTAAAGGAATGTTATTCTGCGTGGTAAGATGAAAACAACGCAAAATTGAAATATAGATGAACACTAAGTCAATGTTGGCAGCACTTCCTCTTCTTTCTCTTTTGCAGATACTTTGATTTATAATGAACTTGAATTTCTCTTTTGCAATTATGGATTAATGGCTTCACTATTTACCATATCTCAAAATATATGATATCATTCGATCTCTAATTTTATTTTTTGAGGATTTTATGGGCACATTTTCTCATCGATTATTTCCTTCTTTGTTTTTTCAAATCCCAATTTTACTTAGAGGAGAGGGGAATAGAGATTCTAAGGGAAGGAAGGAGGTATTCTTAATGGGTTTAGAGCCCATGACCTAAGGAAATAAAGATGGATAATTTAACCAACCGGATAAATGTGTTTGCTGTTAGTTGGTTATTTCAAATTTTCCGATTCTAGATTCGTAGAATAAATCAAGCTTAATATGCTTGACCCAAGTTTTTTTTTTTTACAAAATCATTACACCAGTGACTAATTGTGTGATTAACGTGTAGCTCTTAATTCTGGGTAACACGATAAGGTAAAAGTAGAAAAGATGATTGAACTGAACATTTAGATGCAAAATATATTTTTTCCCTTATTTATGATCTCAATCATTAAAAACCACCCACTTCATCATTGTTTTTTCATGTTATCAATCCACTCAAAATTAATTTTAAGTAATCTTCTACTCCATGTTTATGCGAAGGAAAAAAAGATCCATCCTCTTAAAAAATGATGATATAAAGAGAAAACGATGAAATAGATGGTTTTCATAGGTCGAAAACATTGATGACCCCAAAACATGGATGACGTGGTAAGACGAGTTCATATAATAATTTTTCATTCTTTTAAACTCAAAAGAGACATGTTGGAATGAGAATGATCATATACAATTCTATCTAAATATGTATGTTTATTAAATACTTGGCAAACATCTATGCATACAAATGAAGCCATCACCCAAATATGGATAAATAAAAAACTGAAATTGCTGTATCTACAAATAGTTTACAAATGCCCTCCCGGAAGAGGGGTTAATTTCCGCAAGAAAAAATACTTATTTTTTGGGTTTAGTATGCGGGAAGCAAACAATCATCACCTGGTTGTCTCAACTCAGCGTTTTGTGAACAACCCTTGTGTCAATGATGAAAAATCATAATCCTTTCCAGTGTGTGAATAATTCATCGATGACACCGGGGAGGCGGATTGAGGCTTGCTCGCTCCATTAGTGGCAGCACCACTTGCTGGGGTAACTTGCCCCAATGCATAAAAGCTGCAAGAAAATAATTGGCAAGAGTTCGGATCAGGGAACCTATTGATACAACATGTTCGTGGCATGGGAATCTCTGAATACATAGAAACTTAATACTGCATTTAAACCATATGGAGATCAAGTGTATAGCGTAACAAAACCTGAACTCCTGACAAAGCAGACACGGAACCAACAATAAAGAGATTAGATATGTACCTGGATGATGCAACATTGTTTCCCACTTGTTGTGTCTGTCCCGATTGCATTGTCTAAAGCAGTGAAATAAAAAAATGATAAACTTGCTAGATATATTTCTTTAAAGAAACTGAGGCAACTATACAATGAAGTCTACCTGCGAAAGTTTCTGCAAATCAGCCTGTGCACCAACTGGCATCATAATTCCGGGTATTTGATAGCCAATGTTTGGCCAAGCTTGACTGTGTATACTTGAGCCGGTGGATGGAAGCTGTTGCGTATTTTCAGGAGCAGCCATGAGAAGGGACTGTTGATGTGCTAACAAAGCTAGTTGTTGTTGAGTGGGTATGCTTGTGGTGGTAGACGGAGCATGCTGAGAATTTCCAGGAGCACCTTTAGCTGCAGCAGCTATGAGAAGAGATTGTTGCTGTGCTAGCAAAGCTAGCTGTTGTTGAGAGGGTATGATTGCGCCGTTGGATGGTGACTGTTGAGTATTTATAGGAGCAGATTTAGCTGCAGCAGCCATCAGAAGGGACTGTTGATGTGCTAGCAATGCTAGTTGTTGTTGATGATGCATTGCATAAGGCTGCAATGTATTGGACTGGAATCGATCGAAACCATGTAACAAACATGTTTATACGCATAAGGTAGGGGAAATGTTAAGGAATAATCTGATTAGCTCCGACAAACAAATGACAATGTTGAAGATACCTTATCGAAAAGGCTCATAATATCATTTTTGACATCTTTTTGTGGCTTCTCTGGGACTTGGTTGGTTGTTGTTGGAGGTGAATCATCAAATAAATTCTCAATTCCAGTAGCAGTCTGGGCATTCTTCTCACCAGCTTGTGGTAGATCATTTTTGTCAGTTGCAGAAGTGTTTCCAGCAGCTAAAAATTATCAGGTCACAAAATTAATGGGAATAATAAAATGCTACCACCATTCCTAGGCGGTTGGCACTTGGTAGAAAGCATGTTAAGAAGATCATAAACAAAAATGTAAGGTGATGCCAATAAACAAAAATTATGAGGAAACTTTAGAACATACACTGGAAACCTGCCCAATCAATATCATCAGTAGATGCTGCCCCAGAACCAGAAGCATTTTCACTTGGAGCATCATCAATGGATATCATGTTGAAAAGGTCTGTAGCACATTCAAATTTAGGAGGTATAACAGTGGAAGGAGTTGTTGTTGCCCCAGCTGGTGCCACAACGACCGTTTCTGGTCCCCGGACAGGTGCAACCTGTTAGATCAGCACAATATCACGAAAGTACTTTTTTGGAGAAAATTAAAGTTACCAGAAGAAATACGACATAAGGAGAAGCAAGAAAGTGAGTTGAACAATATGCAAAGCAATTTCAAGACCAGAGTTCTAGTTCGTACTATTTGTTTGCAATCTTTTTGTCTGCCATTTTGCTCATATTTTTTCATTCTAACACCACTAGTCTATTTGCACAAAATATATTAAGGAGTACTGTGGGTAGAAACAAGATCACATCACCAGAAAAAGAACTTAATACCGAATTCAGTCCCTTGGGAGGAGCAGGAAGAGTAATTCTTGTAGCAGGAAGATTTTTGTTTCTGCTAGATGCTTGAATGGTCCTTTCCTCAAACGAATTATCAGAACTTAACACCGAATTCAGTCCCTTGCGAGGAACAGGAAGACTAATTCTTGTAGCAGGAAGATTTTCGTTTCTGCTAGATGCTTGAATGGTCCTTTCCTCAAATGAATTATCAGAACTATTAACACGCTGATGACCACTTTTTTCCATTGGTCCCGGCCCATATGAAGGAGCTCTTTCGTCAAACATTCTAGGTTGTGATTTGGATCTCTGATTTCTAGGAACCCATCGCTTTTCCTCATACCTACAAAAAAAATACACAACAAAATTTGAATAATAATAAAACTCTTCAGAAAAAACTAAATACTAAAAAAATCAGTGGCTACTTTGCACGGATGAAGTTCTCAATTCCAACTCTGTCGTAATTAGGGGGCAATTCAGCTTCCCAGTAACTGTTTGCCTTCTCGTTTCCCATTGCTGTATAATAAGAAAAGCAAATGTCATATTAATAGGCTCTACTCCATCGTAACATAAAACCAATATAAATCAGAATACAGATTCATGGCCAAACAAAAAAGCTTACATTGAATAAAAGCAACCTGCTCAGGGAGCCATGTGTCCAGGGTAGCAGATCGAACCTGCAGCAAGAGGCATTAAGATGCATATATGCACCAAGGAACCATAAGGTTGGTCTGTTGCCTGGGACTTCAAAAAGTAAATGCCAAACCAATCTAATCCTTTACTGTCTTAAACATTACAATAAAAGATGTCAGATGCATTTCTGAGGAGCAAGTTTTGTTTCCAAGACAGAAGCATGAAAGTTTAGACTGGCAGAATTTAATAAACTCTTTTTTAGTCAGAAAGAGATGAAATGTGAATTTGACTCAAGAGGCAAGAAAACCACCTTTGATATGTGTACACCGAGACTTCTGTGGATCCCAGAACATTGCATGCATATAAAGATCCCTAAATTCACACTAGCCCATCTCGGACCTCTGCAGTGAAAGAATGATATTACCATCAATCAACTCATGACAAAAGTTATACAGAAACCTACATTTTATTAATACAGTTTCTATTTTAGGTACTCCCTTATTTTTTATTATAATATGCAAATCTCCTTTCTTGATTTTCTTGTTACTTACTTGGATTTGCAGTCAGCACATTCCTTATTCTCCGGATTTTTCAGAAGACCTTCCAGAATCTACATATGAAATCAAAAGATGAGAACTTGAATCCAGATAAGATAACAGGCTAACCAATCATCAAATATGCAATAACCAAAATCACTCAACAAAGTTAAACGAGTATATCATACCATATAGGTGAACATATATGCACAAGAATTGAAAATTCAGGAAAATGTGTGTATGTATGTGCATATATACATAAAAATAATATGGGGGAATTTAACGCCCTCCACGACTTAACTATAGACCTCATTCCCATATAGGAAGATTGCATAAGTTCCTAAGGTCCACAAATCAAAAGTTTTAAACATATGAAGAAAACAATTATAATCAGAAAACCTGTAAAATATATTAGAAAGGAAATGCATCATTAGGCAAAAAAAAAATTCCGAACTTTCAAACAAAATTGATTGAGAAAACCCAAGCTTAGATCTTCCAAAATAGCAAAACATAATATATATGATGCTATTTAAGATGGAACTTTTTATTGATGAAATTCCATTAATCTCAACAAATTTACCACCTTGATCAATCTAAACCGATCCTAATCTGATAACAATTTGAATATAACCGTAATTTCACTCATAAAAGAATGTCCTAAATCAGCTCATATTCGCCATTCGACATCCGATTCGATCAAATCCCTTAAAAATGAAATGTAAATCAAACAACCAAAAAATTCAGATGAATTAAAAGAAATCGGGTGAAAAGCAACAAAAGAAATGATATAACAAGCACAGATCAAATCAGTACAAAGGCTAAAACACAAGGAACACAATGAAAACGTGATCAAAAAACGTAATTAAAATGAAAATCACAATGTCGAAAAAAATGATAAATTCATGATCACCTTCCGATGTTTCTCATTGAGTTCCTTGGAAACGTGCGCCTTCTCGTTCATGTTTCAAGAAGTCTAAAAAAATTTATACGTGACGCGCGCGCGCGAGAGAGAGAAAGAGAGACGATTACGAGGGGTGGAAGACGAAGAAGAAAGGGTAATATCGAAAGAAAGATAAGGTCAGGCTGGTCTTTTCCAGGCCTCTCTTCCTCTCCTTTCGGTTTTTCGCTCTCTCAGTTTCTTATTATGCGATTTAGAAGAAACTGGTGCGGAAAAGGAATAGAAATAGAAATTAAATTATCACTATTATAAAAATGAAAATGAAAAATGATCTCCGCCTGTTTGACCTCTTTAATTTTATATCTGATTTATTATATTGATTTTCCGGGAATTTTCTGTTTCGAATTTTCCGGTCCCTATATTTTCTCTTTGATTTTTGACGCGCGAGTTGTTGGTTTGGTTGGCACCGCGGAGTTTTACATTTTACGGTTACCTCGTACGTGAGAAACACTTTTCGCTTAATTTAAAAAATTAGATTTGATATCGTTTAAACATGTTTCGAGTTTTCATGATTTGCAAATTCAATTATATTTGGATCATTAAATGAAAAACAATTAAACTATGAATTCGATTTAGGACTAATCATTATGTGAAATGAATTTGGAGTAATATTTCACAAGAAAGTTAGCAGATTATACTAGGGTGCTTTAACTTGTTTTAAGGGAACTGGTCATGTTAATGATCAATCCGTGGAGGAAGCTGGGACCATTAATCCCGGAGCTCAATGGAAGCAAATGGGGTACGAAGAGAAGACTGCATCCGTACACGAAGAAACGAAAAGGATGAACCGGCTTCCCGCGACTAGTTCGTATGTTAGCCATCGAATGCTTGTTCTTGGTAAAATTCTTCAGCTGTTGTCCATTCAGGTAATCAAGATACGGTGGCTTGACCGGTTAGCCATACTCGGAAAAATATGAACTTAAGTTGAGAGGCTGTTAAAAAGAGGGATTTCATTTTTGCCTTTTTGTTAATGCCACAGAGAACTTCTTCACAAGAAGAGTTGGAGTTGTTCTTTACCGGGATGTCTCTATGAACTAGCTTGTCTACACAATGGTACGCTTTTGAACTCAATCTCCTGTCCAACCATAAGGATCGTTTTTGGGCTTTATGTTCTAAGATGATAACTGCTAACTTATGTAGAAATGGGGGTGCGATTCAATCAAGCAACCGATTAATTCGCAAATAGAAATGCTCATTACATCTTATAATGCATCATAACTTTCTGTAAGTTACCGATTAATCTGCAGGGATAACGCTTTATAATGCATCATAACTTGTTCATAAGCTACTGGTTAATCCGAATAGAATAACGCTTGTTACGTCTTTAATGCTTCGTAACTTGTTCTAAGCTACCGATCAATCCCGACACCAGATTAACGAGTTATAATGAGCTATTCCTAACAGAAGTCGTGTGCATTTTGCTGCTAAAGTCACTGTTTGAATCTGTTAAATGTTTCTTTTGCAGGCTGATTAACATCTTGGCAAAATGTTAATGATTTTTTATGGCCATTGCTAAAGTTTCAAGACTCAAAAGGTCCAGCTGAGAACAAGGATCAAAATAGAAAACAAGGGATTTCATTTGCCAATGGTTTTTTATGGGAAAAATCAAAGGGTTGTCATTGTGATTTTAACTATATACAGGCCATGTCTTGCATTTGTATCTGCTTGGTTAATATTTGTGTTATGGATTGATTGCAATGTTTCCAAAAGTTGGTTTCAATTCAACCTCTTTATTTGTGTTTATACCATCCAATAGGACCATCACAATTCACCATCATGAACACTAACAATTAACAATATGCCTTGACCAAGCAAGCAAAAAAAATGCTTCCTGGAGCATACATAGCATCAATAAGCCATTTCGACGTCACATAAATAATGCAAAAAACGAGGTATTCAGAGATTTGAATCATGTAGATATGCTACGAAACTTATATATCAGCAGTTGGCACCAAAGATGAAAATTTTACTATATACAACATAGACGATGCAACAAAACTAAGTTTTAACATGTCTGATTATGGAAATACAATGACATTCAATCACAACTGAATACTGCTACACCTACATCATGGACCAAGATATCCCTGAATTCGGAACCAATTTGGCTAAGAAAGAATTTACGACATTTGAAATCATGACGAAGGCGTTAGAAAAGAAGTCAATGAAGAATTGCCTACCTAATTAGGTTTATGTACATGCACCAGAGAAGACATTCTTTTCTTTCCACTCATGGAGCACTACTATGCATCAGGATTCCATTCTAACAGAGTACATAAAACTAAAAAGAAATGACACCGATAGCTCATTTAGACTGTATTTAGCAATGGAGCAGATATCCGATACCTGCCTCCTCTACCTCTTCTTGCATTGGATATGCTAGTAACCAAGGAGTTATATGCGTGTCCAACATTATTAGCTCCCATAAGCTTTAATCCAAAATTATTCATCAAATAAACCAATTTAGTTTCTTCTTCTCCAGTTACTGTCTGTAGCTCAAGTGCTTGTTCACGAGATAATGTCGTGTACAGATGCAATGGTTGATTTGATAGAGGGTCACAGGTTTTTTCCAGCACCTTGTTCATATCATCTATGCAATTATCAAAAGTAATTCTCAAGAGTCCCATTGATTTAGGGTCATCTGTTACTGGATCAAACACAAATGAGAACTTCCCACATACTAGATCAGGCCACTTGAAAAGATCTGCCAATTGATCACTGCTTGGTCCAACATTTCGCTGCACAGACCTCCTAAAGTAGCTTTGGCGACCTCTTGTGGCACGGAGAATACGTGAAGCTTCCCTTAACCCACTCAAATAGGCACCATGCATGGTGGCTGGATATTGTCGAGTTGTGGCTTCACCAGCAAAAAATAACCTATTGCCTACACTTTCTGCAAGTATATCATAATCCCTGCCGGATGACTGCACCCTAACATGAGAGTACGAACCATATGAAAGGGGATCATTTCCCCATCTTGTACAAATTGTCTGTATGGGGTCAGGCACGTCTACACCTTTTGGACCATAAATAGCTGCAAGGAAAATCAATAGATCATAACACTACTTTCCCAATGAAGATACAGAAAATACAAGAGTTTAACCATAAAAACAGAAAATAAATAATCTGTTGACATTTGTCACAAGTTAGAAAAATATATAGAACCTCTAAGTTTGCTTAGAGCGCGATGGAGCAAGAGTGAAGGATCTGTGCGTTCAAATGTTTGTGCAGCTTCACCAGCCACCAGCGCTATCAACACCGGACCTCCAGAAACAGTATGGTAGCTGTAGAATAAAAAGAACTCTCCACGGTTATCACTAGTTTCATTCAGACATCCAAACGTGTCAAGCTCTTCTCCCCAGAAAACATGAGGGAAAATCATGGCAACTTTATTCAGGAGCCCAAAACCCAATCTGTCAATTGCAGCTAGCTTTCTTTGAGGTAACTCCGGTTCAAATCTAATGGTCTTTCTCTTTAATACTCCAAGAGGCACAGTGCAAAGAACCATATCTGCCTGGAATACTTGATTACCAACAACAACCTCAACTCCTTCAACACCATATCTAATTGCCTCAACTGTTTTCCCATAGATTATGGGGACTCCATCAGATAATGCTTTTATCAATCTCCAATTCCCTCCAGCAAGAAAACAATGGTCTCCACCCATCTCATAAGGATCATCCTGGTCCCAGTAGGCAGCTGACAAATCTGAAAGACATCCTGCATTTGCATATTCCAAATTAGCAAGATGCCACTCCAAAAGTTGCCTCTCCTCCGGACTTCTAGCCACAGCATACAACTGTCTGAGCTTTTCCAGAACTGATCCTAGAGAAATATAATTAGCAAATCCACCCATTATTTTTCTCAGTTCATTAACTTTGTCAAGCATCTTGTTAAAGATCGTTTCAATCCTGGAATCAACTTCCTTCTTGACAGGCACCCCATCAGGTTTATATAAAGGACAATTATCTCGGACCTTATGAAGCGGGATAGAAAGTTGCCTTGCTAGAACTCCAAGAGGATTGGCATGAATGCCGGTGATTACACTACCACCAAGATCCACAGCAGCACGTTTATCCTTCTTACCCATCTGTTGAGTATAAACTCTACCCCCAGGTCGATTCCTCCCTTCTATGACAACTACCTTGAAACCAAAAGATAAAAGTTGCCTTGCTGCTGCCAAGCCAGCTAGTCCAGATCCAACTATTATAACAGAACCCTCAGTTGCCTCCTGTGGGAGGTAAGAGGAAAATGATGGTGAAACTCCAAAATTAATATACCCATTATGGAGAAGAAAATCATAAGCTGCAGACAACAAATGTATATATTCATTGCTCACAGTTTCTTTGATATGTCCCTTAGTTAGCCATATCCGTACATTACTCCTCCACCGAGAAAGAATATGGTTCCTAACAACAATATAATCATTTTGCTCTTTTCCACCTAATTCTCTTACCACCCCAGCTTTAATTTCATCCTCAATTAATGCATCAATAGGGAATCCCAAAGATAATGCTATCATTGCCTCGATTTCAGTCTCTTTCTCCAACTCCTCCTTTGTTCTAATCTTCCTAAACGCAGCACCTATGTGCTTCTCTATGAACTCATCCATTAAATTCTCATCATAGTTCTTCTGTCCAGATTTCTTCCTCAACGACCTCTTCGACACCAACCCATCTGAAACTGGCGTCCCCATATCACTTTTTCTTAACAAAATCAGTCCCTCAAAGTCCTTCAAAATGTATGAAAACTACCTGTATTTTGTCTAAAATCGTTATAATTTCTGACAAAATTTAAGTTACTGAAAAATTCACAAACTATTGCAGCTCTAAAAACAAAAACCCATTTCTTTTCCTAATTTTACAATTCTTAAAAAAAAGGATGCAATAAAGTGTTAAGGAGAAGGAAGAGAGTGTTACTCACCTTTAGAAGAGGCGGAGTCGATACGCGAATTTGGGAATTTTAGTCGGGTAGAGTAAGTTTAATTAGGGTTTTACCATCAGGTGACCTCGAGAAGTGTGAATTTCTTTTAGAAAATTGGATTGGAGGGAACGAGGATGATGATTTGGATCCTAATGTGCCTAAATATTGTGTGAGGTTAGAAATGGCCCGTTAAAACATGGGCCCAAACAAAACGATCATAATACAATATAA